CTGTCAAGTCAGTCTGTTCTTACCTTGTTTGATGTTCTGGAAATCATTTTGATCGATGTAGACGGCTAGGGCGAATAAAATAGGAACCTGGAGTTTTTGGTAATGTTAGGTCAGGAATAATGGTAAATTGACATTTTTCGACCGGTTTTTCGCCGGCCGGCGAACGTCCAGCGGCCATCTGATTAGTCTAGATCAGTACTAGAATATATGAACTTAATGATGGTTCAATCGGAACGGCAAGACAGTCGCCGGAAGGTCGCCGGATTCCGATCCGAAGTCGTGGCCTCGAAAACATTGAACTGAAAATTGTGCCCACCAACTGTTTGTAAAAATGTCTCAGTGAAGAAGGCAAGAAATTATGCCGTTTTGGCACCGTGCCCGCCGGAGAGGACGATCGGCGCCGGCGCCGGCGAAGCCCGGTTCGGCCAAGCCGAACCGGGCTGAACCGGGCCGGTCCGGTTCGCCTCCTGGCGGGAAAATACAAAAAAAAATATAAAAAAATAAAAAAAATAAAAAATTTAGAAAAAAATAGAAAATTCACAAAAAAAATTAGAAAATTCATAAAAATTGAAAAAAATTAGAAAAATTCATGAAAAATAAAAAATTAGAAAATTCATAAAAACGTTGAAAATTTTGAGAAAATACATAAAAATTCCAATGTTTTTTTTTCAGAAAATACATAAAAATTCCATAAAATTCATAAAAATTCATAAAATTTTCAGAAAATCATAAAAAATCAATTCTCGGTTAAAAAATTTTTCGAAAAAAAATAAATAAAATTTTTTGAAAATTCATAGAATGGTCCAAAAACATCATGGCCAACCATAAAAAGTGAAATTTGAATTTTCAGAAGTGCCCAAGTGGCATTTTTAGAAAAATTCCAAATTCAGGGGTTATAACCCCTAAAAAATCCTAAAACCCTAAAAAATGCATATCATGAAATGAATAAGCTTCTAGAGCTTCATTAGGGTTTGGGGTGTTTTGAATTATTTTCGTTTTAGAGACCACTTAGGATTGATTGACTTGATTGACTTTGATTGTGCATTTAATACTTGTTTGGTCTTTCCTGCGATTAGAACGGATAGAATTAGTGGGTAAGCCTCGGAAATTCGCATGACACGTTAGACATCATATCGTTCTTAGGTACCGAAAGGGCATTAGGGATCTCAATTTGGGATCAATAACGTAACCAAGTCCCCGTACTCAGAATCTCTAGTTCGTAGAATCGTGGTATTTCTCCCGTACCTCGATTAGGTTTCTAGTCTACCTACCAATAATGACTAGTGGCGACTCCAAAATCACAAATCTAGACTAAATAAGAAATCACCTTCTACTGTCACGTGAGGTATGGTCTGGGAGAGACCCTTACACGGAAATACCTCCTTAGCGCGCAAATCCCGAAAGCCCTAAAACAAAAAGCGCGGCGCAACAACGTGCCTGGAACGTCTTATTAATAACCCCGAGATGGGGATGTTACAGTTAGTGTTGAGTCGACGTAGTGGCCAGTGGCTATGAGCAAAGAGATGTAATCATTTTATCGAAATTGGACATTGGAGCAGGTCAAAGTACCCAAGAACCAATAGATTTTTGTGTGCAAATGGCTCTACAAATGGAAGGAGAGCATTCCCGATGTCAAGATAGCAAGGAAAGGGGCGAGACTTGTCATGAAGGGGTCTACTCAATAGGAGGGCATTGACTACAATAGTGTTCTCTTCTATGATATGCCATACTTCTAATCCTTTATTATAATCTCAGTTGCTACACAAGATCTCGAGCTAAAGCAACTAAGGGTCCGTTTGGTTCAACTTTGCAAATGAGCCTTGGGGGAATATAAATACGTTTAGGTTAAAGCCCATTGGGGAAATGCAAATGGCGTTTGATAAAAAATCCTTTGTGAAGCTACTTTGACCCAAGTAGTGTTTGATAATTTTTTTTTGCAAAGGGCTTTAGGAATTTTCTTTTTTATTAAAAAAAAGCTTACCCTACCCTTCGCTGGAGCCGACGAGCTAGATTTGGTGCCGGCGGCCGTCACTCGAGGTTGGGCAATCCCCGACAAGCTAGATTTACCCCCGACGGCCGTCGCTTGAGGTTGGGCGATCCTCGGCGAGGGTCACGCGACCCAGGTGACGAGGTCGTGCGACCCAAGCCGGCGACGCCTAGGCGGTTGCGAGACCTCAGGTGACCATCGCCTGGGTCGTGTGACCTTGTCGACCCCTTGCCGACCCGATCCGATGTCGACCGCCCTCGCGCAAAAGATGAACAGTAATAAGAGGGGCAAAACTGAAATAAGCTAGAATAAGTGAGGGTAGTTTGGAGCCAAAAAAGTTGGTTTCAACATTTGCCAAATGCTGAAAGCCCAAAGTTGGTCTGGACTAGCTTTGGGCTTTGAGCATTCCCAATGCTGGCTTTCGATCAAAAGCCTATTAAGAATGCTTGCCAAACGGTTCATCATTTCCCTAAGGGGCTTTCGACCTCGAAAACCCATTGGGAATATTGAACCAAATGGGACCTAAATGTGAAAATGACATTTCTTCACAATGAGTTGAAAGAGCAGACTTATATGAGGCGTCCAGAGGGATTTACTATTTTCGATATAAGATCATTTTTACTAATCAAAGAAATCTTTGTATTGGGTAAAATAGTCTCCTAGATAGTGGTATAAGCGTTTTAATGCTCACATGGCTAGTTAGGACAATTCGAAAAGTCAGTCAAATAGCTGTGTTTACTCTAAGATATTGGATGATGGGTCTTTGATTTGTTTATTATTATGTGTTAATGACATGTTAATAGTGACATATCTTATACTAATGTGCTGAAGCGGCAGTTGAGTGCTGAGATTGAGATGAGAGGTTTAAGTGCTACAAAGATATTGAGCGGAGAGATTTCGTGTGAGGGCTGCAGGAGTTTTGCCTCTGTCTCAAAGGAAAATATATTGAGAAGATTATGACACGTTCTAACAAATAGTCAGAAAAATCTATTAGTACACCTTTAGCAGTGCACTTCAAACTTTCTATTAAGTTATCACCATAAACTGAAGAGATGATGAGCATATTTCCTGTGTTCCTTACTCTAATGCAGCCAACAGTATTATGCACTCCATGGTATACATTAAGGCCAACATTTCATAAGCTATGAGCATGGTGGTTAGCCGTTGCATGAAATATCCTAATAAGACTTATTGGAAAGTTGTGAAGTGGATCATCAGATATTCAAAAGGGCCAACAACCATTTGTATAGTTTACTAGAGGGACGGCAATGGCAATGAGACCATAGGTGTTGTAGATTCGGATCACATAGTTGATTTGGATGAGCGCAGGTCTGTCACGCCCCAAACCCCATCGAGCGCGCGGCATCCCTTACTCAGGTCGAATCAGTGTGACGACCCAGGAAATCATCGCCGACCCAAAGATTCCATAAGAGTTCGATCACGGCGGAAACCAATGAAATAAACCCGGACAATGAAATTGGAGAACACCAGGAAGAAATAAATCACCAAACTACAAAATATAAAACTATACCTCGATATATAAATATACAAGATCCAATTCTTTACAACCAAATACTTCCAACACTCCTCAGATTTACATCAACTGATAGTACACACCCGAACGGATTTCCTGATTACACCACCAACTATTCACATCAAACACTCACTAATTTAATATCAAACCTATAATACATGCACACCAACTAGCTTCTATGGATCGCGTCCTCGACCTCAAAAGGGATTTGCAGCCAAGGTATATTCTACTCCTCAATGCTCGGTGTGCATCGGGATCCCCAAAACGCTGCGGCGGTAGCGGCAGAAGGTTCAAGGCTCGGGCGGATGCTCTGAAATGGTTTGGTTGAAACAACCATGAGACACTTCTCAATAAGTCACAACCTAAATCCTACCTAGGCTACCACGTATTCCAGATATATCCAAACACAACCAAGCAATAAACACAAACATCGTCATCCACACGATCATACTAACCTGGACTCTTGGCATAAACAGCCTGCACATTAGTCCGCAATCATAACAAACAATTCTCACACGCATCTCAACCACACGCACTATAAATCACTCGCATTCTCAAGCCCACGTACACATCGAACACACCACATTTCCAATCCCACATTCCACACTCGATCACGCACCAATCACATCATTTTCATTAACTTGCCAAATTTACATGCTCTTTTATATATATATATATATATATATATATATATATGTAGTTTCCATCCACCTATCAGCTTAAACTTTTGGGTTAACATTCTAACATGGTATCAAAGCTAACTTCTGCCCCGATTTATTTCATATGTGCATCTGCCCCTTGTTTATCAAATTCTGCATGTCATTCCTAATATGCCTTGCAAGTGAGTTTAACTATGAATTTATATGCTCTTTATACATAGTCTTTCTCCACTTGTTATTTTAAAGTTTTTTGTTAGACTTTCAAACATGATGTTTAAATGTATATATGTACCTAACTAACCTTATCTATTAGGTCTCCCGCAAATTGACAAATTAAAAACCCTCAATCAACCCAAGTCATAGGTGTGTCGTGTAGGCCTCTGATTGAAAAAGCGCCTCTCGGTCGGGGATCGTTTTCTTTTCATGAATGATCAAAACAAACTTCCTTCCTCCTCCCCGTATCTCTCTTTGCCTCACAACCACTCTAAAATGTGTGCAAGCAATTAACTTTGCCTCCATGGACCGACCCTTTTGCCTATAAGAAGACCTTGTCAGTTTGAACAAGCGATTCAGTCTTAATCCCTTCTTCATTCCCACGTGAGAGCAACGTTCACATTGACCAAACTAGAGCTGAGCAAAAGCCACACGGCCGACTGTATTAATCTTTATGTTTCCCCAGATCGAACCATTACGTACACATCTTGCATCTCTCTATATATATATTTATGAGCTTCACATCAATGGAGATATCACACTTTCATTCATCTCTCTCTCTCTCTCTCTCTCTCTCTCTCAATTCTTGCATTAACAGTTAAAAGAAATGGAGAAAAAAGCTTCGTTGGTGAAAATTCAGCCTCCGACGTATGGAAAACTTGTCACAATCCTTAGCATTGATGGTAGAGGAGTCCGAGGAATCATTCTGGGGGTCATTCTCGGTTACGTCGAAGCCCAACTTCAGGTATTAACATGAACAAACCTCACGAACAAAGTGGACGCAAGAGTTACATTATTGTGCTATGATGATCAAGAAAACATACCCCCTGCTTAGGGTTTGAGTCGAAGCAGCTTTTGAGAAGCCTTTCTTTTATTCTAAACGCGGGGCATCGCCGATGTCCACACCATCCCTTGAGGAGACATTAATCCAGAAGTCATTTGAATTTTTTGGGTGCTGGAGCTGGATGGTGAAGGTGCGAGGCTTGCAGATTATTTCGATATAATAGCAGGAACAAGCACAGGAGGTCTCATCACAGCCATGTTGGCTGCACCTGATTGTCATAACCGTCCTCTCTTCACCGCGAAAGACATAGTCCCATTTTACTTGGAGAATTGTCCTAAAATCTTCCCCCAAGGATGGTAATCGATCATCGACATACCTCTCGCGTAGCTAGATTAAAATTATTGAACTTCTTTTCATCGTTTTTTAAGCTCGCTGATGATTTTCTTTAGCTTTTTTTCTCTCGTCACATATAATATATTTGATTTGAGTCGTCTTTACATCTCTTTTCTGCTTGCTCCCGCTACTTCTTTTAATAAAAGGGCGAGTCTGGGTTCGGTCTTGAACACGATCAAAAATCTGGGGGGGCCCAAGTACAATGGAGTTTATCTTCACAAATTAATAAGGAGGTTGCTTGGAAGCACGAGATTGCACGAGACCCTTACCAGCTTGGTTATCCCGACTTTCGATATCAAAAAGCTTCAACCAGTTTTATTTTCTTCATACGAGGTGAGTTCCTGTATGTTTTTCCTTTTTTTTTTCTTGAAGAGAGTGCAGTCGTAGATCGGTAAAAGTCGTACGGGTCAGTTTTATTTTCTTCATATGGGCTTTTGACCGACGAGAGTTGCAACCATAGACATCGACCGTATCCATATTTTAGTTAGATTAACGTGTGGATGGAGGATGGAGGAAAATATATAACCCAATTACTGTTTATCTAATAACATCCTCTATGTAACTTCACAATTATTTTTAAGAAATGATTAAATGATAGTCCTTAATTTACTGTTGTGACATTCCAAATTTCGACCCACTCGGTATTTATGAAATGCATGATTTCAATAACGCACTTGTAGCAAATCTCGCCCAGACTTAATCACTCTCGGGATAGTAACCAGTAGGGAAAAGCTAATTAGGGAATTTAATTCACGCGGCCATAGAACTTGATCATGGACTGACTTTCGACCATAAGGATTGTCGAGGTGATATTTTAGGCTAATATAGACCGATCTAAGGTTGGTCATGAATCGATTTGCGAATGCCATATAACTGGATCGCAGGTGATTCCGCCTCGCCAGGATATGAATTTGCGAATGATCCCAAACCTGTTCCAAACGATCGCGATCTTTAGAACTAGTGATTGATCCTTGCAATTATATGACAATCGAGGTCGCCATGACTCAAGTGAGCTTAAACGTGGTTCGATTTAGTATCGACCACGGGTCGAATACACGAATTTTCCCAGAAGCGGCCCGTCAGTTTAAGATAAGCTCAAGATGTGTTTATTTGAGTTTGGCTATTAAATAGAGGCTGAGTTTGGACATCGAAAATTTCGATAGTCATGATACAATATTTGGACGACATCAGAAGTACTGTGGTCAGTTTTGAATTGGCTTGAATTTATCAGAAAATTGGAATTTTGGAAGAAAATGGAAAATGACCGTTTTGCCCTTGAGATTTTATGAAGGCCAAGTATAAACGAGAGGGGCATTTTGATCATTTCACACCAACTTTAGAGATAAAAATTTTTGGACGGTTTTGCCCCTGCACTTTTTGTGAAATTCCAACTTTGCCCTTGGATATTTTTTATGGGATTCGATCTGAGCCGTCGATTTTTAGATAAGATCGAATCGTGGCCGTCGGATTAAAAGTAGAGAGAGGGGTAGGATGGTAATTTTACCTAGGGGTTAGACTAGGTTTTCTTTTCTTTTCTTTTCTTTTCTTTCTTTTCTCTCTCTCTTCCCTCATTTTTCACGATCACTCTCTCCCTCTCCTCCCTCTCTGGCCGTGAGTTCCTCAGCCCCCTCTCCTTCATGTGAGTTGGCCAACCGGCCAGCCAATCGCCGTCCGTTCGTCGCCGTTTCGTCGAACCGTCGCTCGCCCTTTCGTCGTGTCGCACTACTACCGCAACTACCATCTCTCTCTCTCATTTTCCACCGTGAAACACCATCACCAGCCATCCCTTTTCAGGCAAGAACAGCCAAGAAACCAGCAACCCATCGCCGCCGATCGCCGCCGCTCGTGGACGCCGGTGAGTCGCTGGTACCCCTTTTCGTGGGACGCCGCCGCCGTTACTGTTTGCTCTCTGTCCAGCCACCTTTGAGGGCTTGATTTTGCGTGGAATCATAAGTAAGTGATACCCTAACCCTCGCCTAGGATAACGTGTAATTTCGGGTTAGTTCGGGCCCGTTTTAGCAAGTTTTAGGGGTTATTCGTAGAGAAATGGTTGGACTACTTTGGATGAGCTGTTTGGATGAAATTGTGATGATTTTTGAGGTGGATTGGAAGTTAGAATTGATTGATTTTGTGATTGGAATAATTACGAGTGATTATTGTGACTTATTACGTGAAAAACGGGCCTAAATGTGCCGTTATAGTGATTTTTCTGTGGTGGCAAAATTACTGTTCATTCTGTGGCTGAATTGATGCATATTGGTGTTTGAGACATAGTGCATGTTGGTTTGGGGTTGTCGGTAGGAGTACGATGCCCGTGAGTGGTGAAATTTGGCTTAAATGCAAAAATTCGCGTTAAATTGTACACGTGCGAATTTAATTGGTAAAATTGTGAGTTGGCATGGCTTACTGGTAGCCTGTATATGTTGGATGACGTGTGCGAATTGATCGTATGAAATTGGCATGTGATTGGGTGCCCCGACGTGTTGCACGATCATTAAATACCCTGAGGCATTTTTACGCGGGGTCCAGATAATAAATAGAAAATGTGTGCACGTGTGATAACATAATCCCTGATGCATTTTACGCGGGGAATTGAACCCGTCCTGAGGCGTGTTACGCGGGACGATGCCTGGTTTTGCCGGAAGACCGCCAACCTGATGCGTTTTACGCGGGTTGTGCCGTAAAAGGGAGATCGGTGTTGCGCTTGAGGCGTGTTATACGGGCTAGAGACACTGAGCCTGAGGCGTTTTTATGCGGGTTATAGAAGTGTTGTTCAACTCGATACGTGTTACGCGGGTTGTGTTATAAAAACGGAGATCGGTGTTGCGCCTGAGGCGTGTTCGTTTACGCGGGCTAGAGACACCGAGCCTGAGGCGTGTTCATTTACGCGGGCTATAGAAGTATTGTTGAATCTGAGGCGTGATTACATGGTTCGAGATCGATGGCTAGTTTTTGGACCTGAGGCGTGTTTACGCGAGTCAGAAATGAATTGGATGCGTGTGCCTGAGTGAAATGATGAAAGTATGATGTTGTGTCTATTATGCGAATATTGGTGTGGTTTTGGTTTGAATGACATCTTTGAGCGTGGCATGTTATCAGTTATTAATGGTAACGCTTGATTTAGCATGTGAAGTTTCGTGTGTATCAAGTTGAGATGTTGGTGCCTACAATTGTTCTGGTTTACTGATTCTGTGATTGACGTGCTTGAATGTGACCAGAGATACGTGTTAACCTAGGTTGGGTTTAGGTTGTTACTTGCTGAGATGTGATCTCATGGTTTTACTTAAAACCATTTCAGACCCCAGACCTGGATACTGGATAATCAGCCGCCTCACCATTTTGGAATACCAATGCTTTTTGACCACTCAATAGTAGAGTTCCCTGTAGATGAACAATATACTTGGATTAAGCACACCAGTGAGATTCAGGTAGACGTAGATGTCCCAAAGTGGCAGACTCACACATCTACAGCCTGGACTTTCCGAGATGGGGCAGAGGAATTCGGGCCTGTTAGAGGTTTTGATGCTCCCTACGATGCATTTGGAGACTGGGATCCTTTTACCGTTCCTCCCCTTGATGGTGAGTTGACTAGTACCGGCCCTGGCCCTGTACAGTCAGCCCTTTCGATTACCCCCGCTGAGTCCGCACCTATGGTGGCTGAACCACAACCTAAGCTTGAGGTACCTTACCAAGGACCGATTCCAATGGATCTAGGCTTAGACGATGAACCCGTAGAGATGGAGCCAGTGGAGAATCCAGAGGTGGAGCCCGAGGAGAAACCCGAAGAAGAAGAGCCCGAAGCGGAACAGGAGGAAGAGCCTGAAGAAGTGGAGCTTGAGGATGAGAAACCGGTTGAGGTCCCATGGGAATCGGGAGATATAGGTGACCCCATTGTGATCGAAGCTGATTTTGAGCCTGCTGAGTCTTCAAAGTCTTCAGAGAATCAGACTGACTTCGATGAATCTGACTCTGAGTAGACCCCCCCTCTAGAGCGACTAGGGGTTAGGAGTTTTAGGGGTTGGACCTGTTTTTGGTGAGGAGTCTTTTTGACAAAGGGTTAGTCTACCGGGCCGCTAGTCCCTTTTTGTTATTGGCGGTCGTTAGTTTTGGAAGTTTGCTGGTGTGCTAGCTTGTAATGGATATTGTATATATTGCGGGTGTAATATAGTGTTTGATGGTTTGGTGATTTGTTTCTCCCTATTACCTCATGATTATTTCGTCAGGGATTTGTGTAATCGTTTCCGCTGCATTTGATTCTGATGTTTTGGGTTGAGTCGGCGATGTTTCCTGGGACGTCGCACTTTTCGACCGAGCTTGGGGTGTCGCGCGCTCGTCTGGGTTCGGGGCGTGACAACTGTGGGGTCAACTTTTTCAAAAATTTGTGGCGCACAACTTGTAACGTCCTGAATTCGCCCACTTCCGGGATTAATAAAATAGATGATTATTTCTCATTTCATTTTAGTGAGTCTCGCCCGGAACTGATCATTCTCGGGATACTGACCATTAGGGAATGGCTAATTAGGAAAACGATGCGTGGACCTAAGAACTCGACCGTGAATCGAGTCCGATTCCGAGAAGCGACGAGAGAATATTTTGTGCTAAGGTGGGCCGATCTAAGGCGAGTGACGGGTTCAGTTTGGCCAGCGACGTACGATCGGATCGCGGGTGATTCCGCGCAACCGAGAGTGCGCATGGCGGACGATCCCAAACTTATTCCGAACGATCGCGACCATCGGGACTAGCGATAAACCCTCGTGTTCTTTGGGAGATCGACATCCTCGCGACTCGAGTAGCCTAGGTCGATACGCATAACCCCTAAACAGCCTCCCGTTAGTGAGAGACGCTAAAACTGTAAATTGAGTTAAATCGATCATGGAATTGAGTCCGGACTTCGGCGTCGAATTTCGTAGGCATGCGCGACTATTTTTGCAAGAACGACGTCATTTTTATGTGGCCACTCATATTTGGGATCGATAGAGTCAAAAATTGGAAATTTGACCCGGGACCGGAAAATTACCGTTTTGCCCTTGTGCCCTAGCCTTGTATTCCGAGTTTTGGGGTTAATTGGAAATTATTTTAAGGTTTTATATTGAAGTGCTTCAGCCCAATAATGCTGAAATTTGAGGTCCATAATGCCCCCAAGATTTTTAGTAAGTTTAGATCTTAGCCTTTGGACTAGGGACTTGATAGTCATTTGTTGGATAGTTTGGTCACCAACCCCACTCACCAATTTGGTTAAGCTCCCCACTCACTCTCTCTCCTCTGATTTTTCTCACCATTTCATCCGGCCATTTCCTCTCCCCCACGACAACTCCCTCCTCTTCATCTTCCTTCATTTGGCCGTGAAAGGCCAAGCCAAGCCGGAGCGCCGTCGCTCGCCGGTGCCGCCGCCGCGTGCCGCCGTCCCCCTCACCTCACCACCACCATCCAGCCGTCCCTCTCTTTCTCCCTCTCGCCCCCTCGACCGCCACCGATCAGCCCCCGCCTAGGACCGCCGCCATCCGCAAGCCGCCGCAGCTCGCGCCGCCGGGAAAGCCACCCGTCGCCGCCGCTTGCCCCGCCGCTGTTCAGCTACCCTCGCCTCCTGTCCAGCCTTCATTAGGAGCCTAGGAATCCAAGTGAGTACAACCCTAAACCCTAATTAGGCCAATGTGTGTTTCTAGATGAGTTTTAGGGATTAATTAGGGTAATTTGGGGGTTAGCTTGTGGAGGCTGTTATGGGCTGATTTTGAGGCGCATTTGGTGACCGAGAGTGATGATTTAATTGAGGTTTGGCGGCTTAGAATGTACCGGGTGGTGGCTGGAAAGGTTGGATTGAATCGGCCCAAATTTGGGTTAAGTTCGGGTTCAATTGTGGAATATTGTGCGCGCCTAGTATAGTTCTCATGGTGGCTGATTTGGGTGATGTTTTGGGAGCCTAATGGAGTATTTTGAGGATATTTATTGGTCTAGAGTGACCTGTTTGATGGCTGCCCATATCGGGATGAAATTGGACAAGGCGCGATCAATTTGGGGTTTAATGGTGTAATTACCGGAAATATTTGGATTGACTGATTGGGTGGCTGAATTGTCATTGGTTGTTATCAATTTTGTGATGCCATGTCATATGCTTAGTGTGACCAAGAAGGGAGTAGCATGGTGGGCCTCGAGTGCGCGAGTTCATGTGAATCTAATTGTGTGAATTATACATGTGAATTATGTACCATGCAAGAGTGCTTTGAGTTGCTTTCATGGACATGCTGATATGTTGGTTGGGCACATTGAAATGTGGATTGAGCATGTCGTAGCGTTGTTTTGAATAATTAGCCAAATCATGTTGAGTGCCCAAAGTGAATTTCATGAATACTCAAGTGTGAACGTTATGGTCATGAGTGTGCATCTCGAACATTAGCATAACATGTGCATATGCGAGTGTGCACGAATGACATGAGCATGTGATCACCTAAAATGCCCTGATGTGTTTTACGCGGGGTTCAGATAATAATTGGTGATTGTGAATGTGTGATCACATAAAGCCCTGATGCGTTTTACGCGGGGTATTGAACCCGTCCTGATGCGTGTTACGCGGGACAATGCCCGGACTACCGGAAGATGACCAACCTGATGCGTTTTACGCGGGTTTTGTGTCATGAGCCTGATGCGTTTTACGCAGGCCGGAGATCGATCTCAAAGTGATGGACCTGATGCGTTTTACGCGGGTCGGTGAACTTGGTAATTGCAAGTGTGCAAGAGTGCAAGCGTGTGAAAGTGCATCGATGAGACATAAGCACGCGTATGAACACGAGCATATGCATGACATGCGTTGTGACCAAGTGATGCGTGCATGTGCCGCGATTGGGTTCTGTGTTATTATTGTGATTTATAAGTGCCTAACCTGTAGGGCCAAGGTAAGTTTTGGATTTGGGCCCAAGGGCCTAAATTCCGGGTTGTGTGTTGTTTAGTACTCGTCAGGAGGTGCATGTTAGCCTAGCTTAGGTTTAGGGAACCTACTCGCTGAGATTTATTCTCACTATTGCTTAAACCAATCCTTTCAGACCCCCGACCTTAAGGATGCCTGATGTTCCGGTTCGTTTTGGGATTCCACATCAGATAGAGCGGACGAGGATGGTACACCCCGTAGGGAACGGGGAGTCGTATATTAGACATTATACTTTAGTATGGGTGGATGTGGGGGAAGCGCATTACCAGACCCACGAATATGTAGCCTGGTGCTTTAGGGATCGTTTTTGGGAGCATGGTCCTCTCCGAACTTTTGATGTCCCGTTTACCGGGCTGGGCACGAGGTACCCCTAGTGCCCCGATGGAGAGGTGACTGATCCTGGTTCTTCAGCTGAGGAGAGTGCGAGCTCTGATGGTGTACCCGTAGAGTACGAGGTGGATGAGCCCGATCCGATGGACTTGGAGCCAGTTGATGGGGACACTGATCCGGAGCCGATGGAGCCGAGTGTTGAGGAGCCAGAGCCCATGGAGCAGGAGGACGAGGCCGAGCCGATGGATTCCGAGGAGGAGTCAGTTGGGGCCGAGTCCGAGCAGGATTCCCTAGGCTCTGAGGTTGAGCTGTCTGATAGCTCTTCCGAGTCATCGGTATCCGACTCGGACTGGGTTCCATAGATCCAGCCTTAGTCCTAGATAGATCGGGCCAGTACCTTTTTGACCGGAGCCCCTTCTAATTTTAGTAACCTTGACCCCCGGGCCACTTACCCCTTTTTGTCAGTAGTGGCCATTGACCCGCTTTTGATTTTTGAGCGCAATCTGTAAATGGATGATGTATATGGTTCCCAGTATCTATGCAAGTGTATGTTTGTTCATGTTGGTTGTTGTTCGGCTATCCTTGGTTATGCGGTTTTAAATTGTTCGGGTGTTTGGTTATTTCCGCTGTGCTTTTGTGTTCTCTGAAATTTGGGCATTGGGTCGGTGACGCGTCCTGGGACGTCGCACTTGAATCGACCTTTGCGAGGGATGTGGCGCGCCGTAGGGTGCGGGGCGTGACACAACGTGCTGTTACTTTCATAGTGGCCCAAAATGCTAGCAAAGCCCTTTTAAAGAAATGATTAAGTGACAGTCCTTAATTTATTGTGAGATTAACAACGTATCTGGACCACAAAAAAATAAATAACAAATAATTAAAAATTATTGTAGGGGTCCACTCTTTTAAAAATTTGTGACTCACAACATACTATTACTCTCACAATGACCCAAAAACTATTATGCTAGCAAAGCCCATTTTTTTCTATTGGGATGACGCATTAGCATTATTGTGTATATGACCGATTGAGCGAGACATGATCTAATCGCACATTACTTGAATTAGTGCCAATTGTTGAATTCGATCTACATCAATCCCTTATTCATATCGAAACTACCCTATGTGAGCACGCGCATGTTATGAAATATTCAATTTATTGTAGCCTAGTGTATAAGTTTTGGAGTGTGAAGGGATGTGATGGAATCTTACTTTTCTTGCAACTACTGATTTCCAATTGAAAAAGGGATTATTGATAATGCAAGTTTGACAAAGACAATTATGATCAATTACTTAGTCCTAATAGAGAGAAACTTATACGCATATACGCTAATCATAGGAGCTGTTTTCTTTAATTGATTTGTATCTCGTGTAGGTGTCGAAAAACTCATCCTTGGACGCTCAAGTATCTGACATATGCATCAGCACATCCGTTGCTCCGACGTACCTCGCCGCCCATTACTTCGAGATAGTAGATGAAGCTGGACGAGCCCATGAATTTAATCGGCAAAAGGACACTATAAGTGCCATAACTTGTGTACGGAGATCACTTTGGTGCTATAACTTTTTTTCGGATCACTTTGATGCCAAGTCGGAGGAAAAACGATCACTTAAGTGTCATAAGTTTTTTTTGGATCACTTCAGTGCTAAAATTTTTGAAAAACGATCACTTAAGTACTAAAATTTTTTAAAAACGATCATTTAAGTGCTAAAATTTTTGAAAAACGATCACTTAAGTACGTCTGATCGTTGGCACTTGTAGTGTTCTTTTGCCGAAGTGAGCGTCGTACACAAGTTATGGCACTTGTAGTGTTCTTTTGCCGAATTTAATCTGATCGTTGGTGGTATGGTTGCCAACAATCCGGTAAGTACGTCTCATGAACGCACATGATCATAACTTACATACATACATGTACACATAAGAAAAGGTATATAGGTATATATACGATCATAAGTTAATAGAGCCTATTTGATATCAAAGACCGTAAAAATAAAATAATGCGGCTAAAATAGAATCGCCTGGTTTTAATACGGAGTGCCTTTACTATATCTTCTTCTTTTGTGACGAGGAAGTTCACTTTAAGTGAAGCAACCTTGACCCGAGAAATACCTGTTAATTTCATGGTCCAAGTCGTGAAATATGAACCGAGGCACAAGATGAATGGCCGAAACATGAATTATGCTTAACATTATGAAGAGTTTAACATTTACCTAATCTAGACAGGTAAGTTCAATCGTTAATATGGAGTCCTTCGTAAAGTTCAAAATATGGAGTCGACGTGGTATAAGCTACCAAATATGATTTTTTAAATGAATAAATAATTGAATGCGATCAAGATTATTCGGCTGTGACAATTCTGCGTCGAATCACAATCCTATGTTCATCTGTGGTCCAACGATGGGATGTTTTGTTAAGGTGTGAAACCTACGGATAACACCTCAGAAGTTGCTAATCAACAAAAGTCATAATTTTTCTCATAATACATAGTTATCTTGAGATGACAGGCCAGCTGACGGCAAGCCACGTCCAGCTTGATGATTTGTTATATTTGTTGCGAAATTCAAATCGGCATTAGTATAAAAATTACAAACAATACAGAATCACAAATAAACGAAATTGCAATAACAAAGTTGGAATCGATACAAATGAATACCGAGGCCTGTGTTTGACACAGTTTCCTTAAAACAGATTCGTTCCCTTCAGGACGCGTCCGAGGTTTCGTGAACGTCTGTCTCCCAGGATACAACGGTTGACTGCTAAGAAGTAATCAGGACTTCAAAGCTTCCGGCGAACTTGAACAAATTGCGGAACTGAACACTATCGAAAACCGTGCAAATGCAGAGAATATAAAACAGAGGAAGAATGATTTCGATAAAAAGAGAACGCAGGGGAGAGCATTTCGGGAATAATAACGGCTGATTAAATCTGTCGTTACAAAATCAATACGAATAACGGACGATTAAATCTGTCGCTATAAAATCAATACGAATAACGGACGATTAAATCTGCCGTTATAAAATCCGCACGTTACGAAATTCGTAATAGTTTGAGTTGAAAAAAATAAATCAGAAGGCAAAATTGGGCTCGTCGCGAGGCCCACTCTTCGGTCCTGCAATCGTGTACGCGCCCAAGTTTCAACTTGTCGGGCGTCGGATTTGCACCCCCCCTGCGCCTGCGCACGAGGCATAGTATTTGTGCTATAACAGTTACCACTTCAAATAAGTGTAACTGTATATAAAGTACTCCATAGCCTTCTTTCTTTTCCGATGTGGGATTAGTGTTTTTCCACTTCCCACTTCCAACTCAAGGGTGTTCTTTGAGCATCAATTTCTCATTCATTCACCCATCAATTTATCCCATATTTCCAACAATATTCTCTGTTGTTTTTGTTTTTCTTGTTGCCAAAGAAGTCTCATACAAGTTCTGGTCAACTGCGCAATTGATTTGAGAACCTTGTACTTTATATTCGAATCAAGTCTCTCTTTCACAAGGTAACATTAGGGAGTCATTGTCACAATTTACGTGAATGGAGCCTTGCACGATGCACGTCGAAATGGAGGAATTTGTCTACATTCAACGGGATTAACTGAACAGAAGGTTCGGATACCGCAAATTAACACAGCAAAAAGGTTTCTTTTTCGTGTTATTAGGATTTGGCACACGAGAATTGTATTTCAAGAACGTCCTACAAAGAACTGTTTTTGGCATATAAAAATTATTATCAATTACAAATATTAGCCGAGATCAACCCTTAATAGAAAATGCTCATAGTAAACACTAGTGAAATTGACTGGAAAATTACTTCATATTGGTTTAAAGTTGACGACCCATGCCGCTGCTATAAACATCTGGTTTATGATTTTACTTAAGAATTCTAATGACATCTAGTTGACGACACGTGATATGAGTGTTGTACCTAGTACTTCATTCTATTTCAAGGTGTTGGAATATCGCAAACATTATTTTCCCTCTTTTCAGACATTGATCACCATCAGCGAAGTGAGCAAGCAGATCTTGAACGAAGACCCAGATTTCTTCGACATCAAACCGCCCATGAACTACACTCGACTGCTGGTGATTTCACTGGGGACAGGCTCGAACATGTCGGAGCTCAAGTTCGCTGCCAAGAAGGCTTCAAAGTGGGGGTTGCTCTCCTGGCTGGTTAAGGATGGCTCGAGCCCTTTGATCGACGTCTACTCTCAAGGGAGTGCCGACATTGTTGATTACCACCACTACAAAAAAACAAGGATTTAGCCACGGAAAATTAGGGACGAAAAATTATTCGTTGCTAATTTGCAACGAAAACTAAATTCGTCGCAAATTAGCGACGAAAAATTTTTCGTTGCTAATTTGCGACAAAAAAAAAATTCGTCGCTAATTTGCGATGGAAAAAAATCCATCGCTAATTTATGATGGAATTTGCCACCAAAAATTATTCATCGCTAATTTGCGACGGAATTAGCGACGAATTTTTTTTCCGTCACTAATTTGCGAAAAAAAAAATGTCGTCGCTAATTTGCGACGAAAAAAATCAGTCGCTAATTTGCGACAAAAAAAAATCTGTCGCTAATTTGCAATGGATTTTGCGACGAAAAATTATTCGTTACTAATTTGCGACAGAGTTAGCTACGAATTTTTTTTCGTCGCTAATTTTGCAACGGAATTTGCGACGAAAAATAAATTCGTCGCTAATTTGCGACGGAAAATAAATTAGTTGCTAATTGTCCCTCTCGCTACTTGTAATATACCCCCACCCCCAATTTCTCTCTCTCCTTGCTAATTCCTCATATCCCTCTTTGCTGTTCTCCCTCCCTCTCCCTCTTTCATTTCTCTCGATAAACCTCTCTGTGCGCGCGGAAATCAATCTCGGCCAAACTTTTCTGCCGGTAAGTGTCGTGGCTAATTTCGTGACTAATTGGCGACGAAGACGGTTCGTCGCAAAACTATTCATTGCTCGATTCGAATTTTTTTATTTTATTGACTTTTTTTTTCTCTTTTTCTTTTCTAACTTCTAACTTCTAACTTCGTCGCCGGCCATGGGCGAGGCCACTGGACCTCGCGCATGGCCAGCGAGGTCCAACTCGCCGGCCTCAACCTATCGCCGGACCGGCGACCGGCGAAGAATATAATGAAAAAAAAAATTCGAAAAAAAAATTATTTTAAAAAAAAATCTGAAGTCATTTTTTTTAGGTATGTGTCCATTTGAAAGTCTCGCAGATGAAGTGAACGTTGCAATTCTCATCAAATTGAGCACTTTCTACTACAAAAATGTCAAACAAATACTTGGGTAAGTCTTCTTGACATGGTAATTTTTTCATTTTTTTCAATTTCAAAATAATTGTTTCGTCAAAAACAAAATTTTAATTTTTAGAATTTTATGGTTTTAATTAAGAATATGAAACAGTAGATATGATATTTTTAATATTTTACCGAGATTTTTTTATTTTCATATAGACATAATGCAAAGAGGCAGGGCTTGGATGTATAATAAGAACTTACCTGGACGTCGAGGATTGACCGATGAGTTTCGTACTGGGTTGGAACTATTTTTGGACTTTGTTAGTTGTAAATATGAGTTAATGGATGGAAATAAGTTAAGGTGTCCGTGTAACAAGTGCAGTAATGGTAAATTTCATGTGTGTGATAAAGTTAGAGAACATCTTTGTAGATTTGGATTTACTCTGAACTACTATAATTGGACTTGCCATGGTGAACCATTTATATCTGATGAACGATATCGAAGAAGTGATCAATTTTCAGTTAGGGAAGAATGTAGCTATTATGACCAATTGAACCCATACCAGAGGATGGTGATTAATGCAGCTGGTCAAAATTTTGTTTCATAATCGAACTATACAAGTATTAGTTTTACTCCTACACTTGAACAAGTACCCACTAGTCATGCATCACAATTGGAAGAGATAGGACTAACAGGTTTTGATGAGAATGTGTGTAATGGAACTTTTCCATCTAATCAGTTCTGGGAAGTGTTGAAAGCAGCAGATGAACCTTTATGGGCAGGTTGTAACAACTACACTCAGTTATCAGTGACAGCAAGACTGTTAAATATCAAGACAGAGCATAATGTGTCCGAGAATTGCTTCAACTCTTTTGTTGAAGTAATACAGGAAACAATGCCTCGTGATAATATCATGCCAAGTGATTTTTACGATATGAAAAAGTTAGTGGATAACTTAGGTCTTCCAGTTGAAAGGATTGATGTATGTACTAGGGGTTGTATGTTATATTGGAGAGATGATGAAAATGCAGAATCTTGCAAATTCTGTAGCCAATCTAGGTACAAGATTAACAGGAGGCAGGGTCGTAATCAGAAGTATAGACCATCCAAGCAAATATTTTATCTGCCCTTAATCCCCAGATTGCAAAGGCTTTTTGCATCTCAAGCCACTGTTGAACACATGACTTGGCATGCAAATCATGAAACAGAAGAGGGTCTAATGCGTCATCCTTCATATGCAGAGGCATAGAATCATTTTGATAGAACATACCCTGAGTTTCCGATAGAGCCTCGAAACATCAGGTTAGGTCTCTATGCTGATGGATTTGCCACATTTGGGAAATCAGGAAAAAGTTATTCATGTTGGCCTGTTATATTAATTCCGTACAATCTTTCACCCGGTATGTGCATGAAGACACCTTATATGTTTTTGACATTGATTGTGAGTGGCCCGCAAAATCCGAAAAAGTTGATAGATGTTTATATGCAACCATTGATTGAAGAGTTACAATGGCTATGGGATGAAGGTGTCGTTACATATGATGTTTCTACTGATCAAACATTTGTAATGAAAGCTGCTCTTCTTTAGACGATAAATGACTTTCCAGCTTATGGAATGTTATCTGGATGGAGTACAGCTGGGATCTTAGGATGTCCGATATGTTTGAAGAGATCAAAGTCATTCAGATTAAGACATGGTAAGAAGCCCAGCTATTTTGACTGTCACAGACAGTTTTGGCCGACAAATCATACATTCAGAAGGAATAAAAAAGAGTTCATCAAGAATAGGATTGAAAGAACACATCCACCATTAAGGTTGACCGGTGATCAAATTTGGGAGCGAGTGCAGGACTTTCCAACTGTTGTTGAAAACCCTCATGGCACAACTATTGCGTACGGAAGTACACATAAGTGGACTAAACGCAGTATATTTTGGGACCTACCATATTGGAAGGCCCATCTTATTCATCATAATCTTGACGTCATACACATTGAAAAGAATGTTTTCGACAATGTCATAAATACTGTGATGGATTTCACTGGAAAAATAAAGGACAACTTGAATCCAAGAAAAGATATGAGAGATATTTATGAGAAAATATAAATGCAAATTGTTAATAGGATTTTTCAAACTTCAATGTATGGACTAACACCAAATGAGTTTGACCGTTTGTGCGATAAAGAATTTGCAGCATGGTTCAAAACATATGTAAGTTGCCTATGGACCAAAACCAAGTTATTAATATTTTATGCATTATTTATTAAAATATATATTATTGACTTTATGTGTGTGACCTTAGGTTCACAGTAATCATGATCAAGTTGAAGAGCAAAGATTGCTATATATCTGTCATGGGCTCTAAAGTCAACAGTACGAACTTGGCCAGCATATTTCATAAACGGGTATAATTTTCACACTCAAGAATATGGAATGGGAAAAGCCACAATGAATAGTGGTGTGTGTGTTCGGTCATCCAATTGTAGCAGTTCAAAAGATGATTTTTATGGCTTGTTAGATGAAATCATAGAGATAGCGTACCATGGACCATTAATGCGGGTTGTGTTATTTAAGTGCATGTAGTTCGACCCCGTCAAAGGAATGAAGGTGCATACGAAGTTTAATTTGGTTGAAATAAATCACAAGAAAATGTATATGAAATATGAACCATTTGTGATGGCACAACAAGCAATTCAAGTATATTATGGATCATATCCTACTTTGAAACATGACAAAGCTGATTGGTGGGCTGTATGTAAAATCAAAGCACGAAGAAAAATCGAGGAACATTGGAAGGATACAACATATCAACAAGAGGAAGTTTGTAACACGGTTGAAACTGAGGTATATAACATTCCAACTTTACGAGATCCATGTGGAGCAATGATAGATGTAGATCTAACTGAAATTCGCGAATCAAATTTAGAAGGTGTTATAGAATCTGATTTTGAGACAGAGGACGAAGATAATGATGCTCATGAAGAAGATCAAGATCAAGACGAAGACGAAGACGAAGGTGAAGATGAAGATGAAGATGAAGATTATGATTTTTGAGACTTTTTACTAATTATGTCGTAATTATTATTACTATTATTATTATTGCGACATGAGTTTATTGTTGTTGTCGTAATGATTAGTATTGTTGTTGTTGTTGTTGTTATTATTATTTTTATTATTGTTATTGTTATTGGTATTATTATTATTATTGTTATTATTAATATCATTATTATTATTGTTGTTGTTGATTATTATTATTGCTATTATTGTTAATGAAAAGTTATTGTCGAGAAATTCGTCGCCAAATGGCGACAAGTCAAATACTATTCGTGCGATGACATTTGCGATATTTTATTTTCCATTGGATTTGGATCATCACTAATTGACAAAATTAGCGATGACATTTGCGACATTTTTATTTGTGAATGGTTAAAAGGCCATCGCTAATTTTGTCGGAAAATTTTTTATTTGATGAATTGTTAATATGAAAGATCGTCGCCGTCGCTATTCCGTCGCAAATTATTGATGGATTTGAATTCGTCGCTAATTTGCAATGGAATTAGCGATGAAAATAAAGTCTCGCGGCACTTGCCCGACTATTTTTATTTCCGTGGCTAATTAGCGACGGATTTAGCCACGGAAATGAGTTCTCCCCGCTCACCCGAATAATTTCATTTATTTTCGTGGTTAAATCCGTGGCTAATTTTTTTTCCGTGGCAAATTAGTGACGGATTTAGCCACGGAAAAAAAATTAGTCAGGTGCGCGGGGAGACTTCATTTCCGTGGCTAAATCCATGGCTAATTAGCCACGGAAAAAAAATTGTGCGGGGAGATTAGTTTACCGTGGCAAAATCCGTGGCAAATTTACCACGGAAAAAAAATTGTGCATGGAGATTTTTTTTCCATGGCAAAATCCGTGGCAAATTTGCCACGGAAAAAAAATTTTGCGGGGAGATATGTTTTCCGTGGCAAATTTGCCACGGCAAAAAAATT